ATTAATCTTGAAAAATAAAAATAGTTATAGCAAATTTTTTTATCTTATTTTAAACAAAAATTAAAAATACGAAATATCTGTTGTAAACTACAAAATTGACATTTCCGATAAAGGCACTCTCTCGTAATATAGAGCGAAAAGTTTATCATCGATGACAGCCCCAAGCCCGGATTAAAAGCGTCACAATTGGGGTGAATTTATCTCATTCCGTGCCATTAATCGCTTTATTTAAAGATGTAAAAGTCACAAACGAGCAATGTTAAATATCCGGTGAAAGCTCGTTGCGTCTGTATGAATCTGAGAACAATTAATAACTGCACACTTAGGGAGTCCAGAGATGAAATACTGTCGGACGTATATGGTAATGACGGGCCAATCTGAATGATTGATGCATGTTGTTCCATGATAAAGCCACCGTGTTTTGTAATAGCGAGTTAACAAAGATTTATTAATCCGTCCTACCACCTCCTATTAACACAAATTTGGTGTTTATTCGGTATACATGCAATTTTTTTTTATTTACTGATTAAATTTTAGACGAAAGTAATTACATGAGATGTTTACACACTCGCCATTGTGATAAATTAACCAAAGAGAGACGTCATTTGCACACAATTCATGTCTAAAACTAGGAAAAACACTAAATTTTCTACACAACGTTTGCAAATTTGTAGGATTAATCCATAACAATCCAGTATTTCAAAGGCTTAATACTGAGGAACGGTTTTCGTTACTTGTTCGTGTTAAACGTCGGGAATTTCGACTTAAAACTAAGCGTCTTACGCCTCATTTTTCTCAGCTAATCTTCTTAATAAAGTATACACACTTTATAGGGTTTGTCGACGGGTTTCTACTACTGTATATTTTGGACAAATAAATAATCTGGACTAAATGGGAAAAATACGACAAAGAAAATAAAGCATGAACTCCAACAGACGTGTTTCTGGATATAATTTAATGAGTTTTTAAGTTACTCACAAGACATTTTATCTTGGAACTTAAAACTGAAACCTCAAATCTTGAAATGTTTCAAGGTTAATGAAAAAATTATTTGAAAAAATATAACAAAGAAAGTAAAGCAAAAACTCCAATAGATGTAATTCTAGGAATAGAATTAATATGATTTTGAATTAGTAAAAAAATATTAAATTTTAAAACTATTTCAAGTTTAATAAAAAAAAATTCATTCAAATACTCTTTTATTACGTTTGAACCAAAATTATTAATTTGTTCGAAGAGTGTAAATTGTCACGAAACATCGAATACTGAAATGTTTCAAGATTAACAAAAGATCTCATCAACTGTTCTCCTACATTTGAATTGAAAAAAATTCTAATTTGTTCGAAAACTAATTGAGTTCTCAAGAAATATCAAAACTATAATGTTTCAAAATTAACACAAAAGAGATATTATACTCGTAAATGTGTTCAAAAATTAAGTAATTTGTTTAAAAACACTGAATATTAAAATGTTTCCAGATTAATCAAAAATCACATTAACTGTTTTGGAAATATTTTAAGATTAGTGAAAGATCTTTTACATTTTTGTACAAAAGTAAGTGAAAGAGCAAATTTTATTGTCTGCCACCCGTGGCTCACTAAAACGCCACCTTTCGTAACAATTTATTGTACAATTTGAAAATTATGTGAGTTCAAGTTAACCCTCGTGTCGTTACCTCGCGAATATCATTTGCGCATTCGGGCCATTTTCCAGGTGGCATTGCATCATCAAATTTTACGATCTCGTTTCTACCACTATCTAAACACACGACTCTTCCAGAAGCCGTTTATGATACAACTCTTCAAGAAAAATCCAAGATTGCTCCTCGAGTCGCTACAATTAAATCAAAGTGGCCTCTGACTTTGAAATTAAGTTGGCAACGTTGCCAACTCAAATCGTAGCCGACTTTGAAGTATCTAGTCTCATTAGGAGGTAGCGAATTGCAGCACCACTAAATAAACGGTTAGTCAAATCGGGGGAAACACTCAAGCTATTAGAAAAACAATTCGAACGTTAATCAAATCCCAGAAGCGAACCTAGCGCCATAACTCGATATATTAGAACAAAGGAACTAATTGAATATGGATCCAATGGCAAAGAAGCTCGAGTTTGCTTCGAACAAAGGAGCTTGCGACTTCTCTTCAACTCATTAATTTACTCTGAATGTAAGCGATGGGGCGCAGCCCGAGGACACTTGTTAATAATATCACTAATAATTAGAATCGATGAATTGAAAGCGGATTTCAAGGTCAACATCTGAGGGATGACAACGTCCCTCTGGACGTGTACTGAAATATATCTCCGAATAGTAATTTTTTATAAATATTCCTAAGAAATTCGGTGATTAAAGCGAGCTTAAGGAATACTTTGGGCCATTTTCTGCTGCCAGTTTTACAATCAGACTATTGTTTGAGGCCAAATGTGCGGAATTATAAAGCAACAGACTTAAAGCTTTCAAAGAGAACGGCTGTGTCTGAAGAAACAATGAGGTATAGAAGCGAAA